GCTGCTGCCTCTGTTTCCTGATTAACTTGTCTAATTTGTTGGTACTGATATTCTGTTTGATGGGCAATTCTTGCATAATACCAGTTATGCTATATATTGGCCCTGGACCTGAACCACATAGAATATATTTGCAACCTTCTATATGTCACTCCAGCTTTTCCCTTAGACTTTCTTCCACAAGTTGTGTTACAGTTCTAATACAACACATAGCAACTAGAGACGTATGACATTCAGGTGGAAGAACTGGTTCTTTTGGTCCCCATTCTGTATGGCATGCCCAAGTGATGCTGATGGGAGGAAGGGACAATAGGCTGGGTGAAGTATATAGCACATCTAAAAGTGCATGGAAAAGGGGCCAATGTACTGCCTCTTTCCCTTGTATGCTACCAGAGTTAGGGTTTTGCATGGATTCATGGTGCAGGGAAAAGGAGAGTTCTGTAGGCTACATTGTAATCTCAAAAGATATCTCAGTATGTCTGGGTCGTGGGATGAGCCAGTGATTAGGAGAAAATTGTAGGCAAGTGCATGTGAGCATCAACTAAACTATTCTATGACGCGTGACATGAATTCAGTGTTAATGACATTAGTACAATGCTTGTAATGTCAGTCATTTTTGTTGTAGCAGTCAGATGGACATAGATGCGAGGGGTCTTGGCAGGAGCAGATGTATGGGTAATTTTGAAAATTGTTTGAAAAGGAGAGGCAGCAGTTTAATTTGGCTCATACTGTGAACTGGAAATAGTGACCTACTGCAGAACTGATTGATTTAGTAGGAATTTGTCTCAGCTCTAAATTAGGCTGGGTTAGGTGGTGGTGGTGGCCTGGACAAGTTAGTTTTCTGCATACAGCAGACTGGCAGTAAAATTAAATGGAGGGCCTGTGTCATAGCCTAGCAGGTCCCTTTAGGTTGGACTGGTGGTGCTTTGAGGACCTTGTCTTAATAGGAAAGAAGGTGTGTTCTTAGCTTGAGTTAGCTAACAAGGTAAGACTAGTGAAGACAGGCAGCTTGTAGTTTTCACACAAGTTAGTTGGCTGAGTAAAAGGACTAGACTCTCCCACTTAAAGCCTGTCCTGCATTGGATTAGGAAGCAGTAACACTTTGTAAGGCCATCATGTATGAAATGATAAAACTTCTGTTAATGTGTGTGAGTCATAGGAGCTATGTGCCACCATGCAGAAGTGGTAAAAGCAGCACAGGCACCTAAATTACAAATACAGCTAAAGCCTTAGTGCTATTAACACCGCCCCCCCTTTCAGATATTAAAAATCAGGAATAGGGGAAGAGGTGATATTAACGGCAAATGACACAGAAGCTGGGGTGGACAGTATCTGGAGGACAGGGGTGTGTGTGAAAGTTGGAGCAGGGGAGAATGGAGTGGAAGACATGGCGGCGGGGGGGGGGGGGGGTTGAGACTGTCAGGCAGGGAAGGAAGCAGGAACAGACAGATCCTGTAGACTGGGGACCCAAAGTGTCTGCCAAGAATCCAGCTGTTTGAACTGGCTGGAGGAAGGAACTGCCACTGGCTGGTGAAAAGGGATGGAGAGAGAAGGAGGCTATTGAGGGGAGAGGGAAGGAAGGAAAGGCAAACCACTGTACAGAAGTTGGCTCTATAAAGAGGGAGGTCTGAGTGATGTAATCCACTGAAGTACAGTAGCAAGCTGTTCTGGCATGCCAGTAAAGGGTTTAAAAAGTAACTATGTTGTATGACCCCCATCAGCTCACAACCCTGCACAGGTACGAAACAATACCCATGCAAAGATTAGAAGTTAGGGAAAAGCTGAAGTATTTGATATGATGCCTGGGAAACACCATGAAACTTCCTATAGAAAACACATCACAAGACAGGATTGCTGTAGGTAGCAATATAAACATATCAATAGCTGAAGCAGCTCTACCCACAACTAGTGTAGGAGTGTGGCATTTACATGGACCAAAAGGGGGTTGGGTTGATTGATTGAACAGCAGTATGGACCAACATGTGTCCCTGTTATCCAGCTGCAGGCACACATGCTGGCCTATATAGGGTATCTGCAAGTTTGAGCTTAGCCATACTAAGTGTGCTGTGCCACATGTGTGCTGGTCAAAGGGTGTGCTGTGCCATACCCTTGATACGCCATGTATTTACATACTTTTTCATGGATTTCTGCTGCTCCTGGGCTGTCTTCCATGCAATGGCATTGTGTGGTCCTGAACCAATATATTCCACTCATTATGATTCCATGGGGCATGGGAGAGTGTGATGGCCAGCTGCTGCTGCATCTTGAAATACCCACATTTACTGTATTGTCAGGAGAACAGACAGAGAAAGATATAGAGAAGTTCAAACTGTTGGGGAAAGTGGGAATCCTATAAACTTTTGAGTGAAAACTGTTCACATTCAGCATCTGTATTGTTGGTTGTTACCCAAATGTCGTCAAAAAACAAAAAAAACAAAAAAAAACCACAACCAAACATTATCGTGTAACTGTATTTTTGTTACTACTAGAACAAAACACTACATTTTTATATTGTCACCAAACCCCCTTGATATAAATAAAGCTCTGTGTTTTTCTGTGGGTACATCTTTATTTCTCTCTGTATTTCATAAACACTAAGAAAATTGGATCATTGCTTCATAGCTACTTCTATAGTTGGTTTTACTCTTTGAAGTCTTTCTTTCAAAGTTCTCTTTCAGACTGGCATCATCGTGATTTAAATGCACCATTGACTTGATCTTACCACCATTGAAATGTACCTATTGACATTGATGGGAGCAGGATTGAGCCCATATGCACAGTTAATATAGAACTTTTTTAAATGGTCTCATTGTCTAGTCTTACTACTTTCACTATTTAAAAGGGTAGCTTCAGTGAACTGCACAATATCATATTTTAGTTTAATGCCACCTTATTTGTAGAACTACATCAGTTTTAATTCTTTACCAAAACAACTTTTTTAATTCTCTTCAAAAATGATCTGCCTGCAAACATTCATCAGAAAGTGACATGCCATTCTGAGCTACAATAATTATTTCTTAGTGCTGTATGAGGGAATTGGAATTTCTTGTCTGTGCTTAATATAGCATTGCAGAGTGTGGGCAATTAGTGAGCTGGTTCTGCACACTGAAAAAGGAAATTCCTCTTAGTTTATTTCTGTTAAATACTGATATATTTCAACCTGTACTAAAAGAGAGGACAGTGGACAACAGCAAAGAGATCACAATCAAAACAAATGACTCATTTCCTCATAAAAGAACAACAGTACTGAGTATTCTTCACACAATGGCCCAGAACACTGCGGTAATGCTGTTGCAAGCTGTAGCGTTGGAGCCATTATTGTAGATTTCTGTCAGGTTTTAAAGCAGTGTAGGTAGGACCTTATAAAGTAACAATGATTTTATGATGAAGGCATAGGACCTTGAGTCCGAAAATCTGGGTTCTGTGCCTGACCCTGCAGCTGACTACCTGCACAACCTTCCTTAATCACTTAATCTTTGTCTCAGTTTCCCCATTTGTCAAACACGGGTAATAATAGTGATTTCGCTCAAGGGGCACTGTGAGGCTTAATCCATTGATGTCTGTAAACTCTTTGAATGGAAGTTGCTCTATAAATGCATTCCTCTATTGTTTGCATGCATTATTGTATTGTATGCAAATGTATTATTAGAGTTGTTGAAACAGCTATGAAAAAAACAGCATACAGAACAAGCAGAAGATTTTCCTTTTTCCTTGAGATTCTTTACCAGCCTTTGTGTTTATTTGTTTTGTCTTGAACCAGTGCTGCCAGCATGAATGCCTTAGGGTAGTGTCTAACAAAGATCATCCCCTGGTGGCTCATTTGTCATCCTCTTGGCTACATTAGGAAGCTTTAGCTCCCACAAAGCCTTGTTTCCCGTGTTCAGACAAAACTGTTTAGGTGCTGATTCTGCCAGCCTGGCCAAGAGTCCAGTCTGTGGAAGTTGGGAGGGGGGCGCCTCGAAGTGCACAGTACCTGAGTGAGTGCTGCTGGCATTATAACCTGCATGCTGCAAAGAAAGCAGGAAGAAAGCAGAGAGAGAGAAAGCGAGTGACATGAGATGACTGCACCTCGTCCTGCATATAGGCGGGCGGGATGGGAGAACGAGATGAGCCCACCTCTAGTGAGTGACCATCCAAGCTTCTTCTCCCCCGCAGGGTGGTCCCAAGGGGGCCGTGCGCGCTTGCTCCCCACAGGTGGATGCTCTGGGATTGCTCGCGCCGGTGCCGCTGACTCCCAGGTGCGGCAGACGGGGCTGGCGTGGCTCGGGAACTGGCTGGAGCAGGGGGACGCGCGTTCCCTGCTTGGGGGGCCGCTGAAGTTTGGCCAGCCAAGGAAAGGGCCGGTCACAAGGGGAGGGGCCGGGGGAGGTGTCTCCCTCCCGTTAGACAAGCTCGCCTGGATTCAGCAGCCAGCAGCTGTCACCTCCGCTCCTCTGGGGAAGCCGCCTGCACCCCAGGGAGGAGGCAGCGCGGCTCCGGTCCTAGAAGCCACCGTGGGGCTTGTTAAGTGTTCCCCAAAGGTGGCTGCTGGAGAGGAGGCGGAGCTGAACTAATTCCAGGGACCGAGGCGGCGGCAGCAGCTCCAGCCCCTTCACTGCACCAACCTGCGGGCTGGCTGGAGAGAGAGCCCAGCCCCTCCCTCTTCAGCAGCAGCCGAGCAGCCGCCGCTACCACCATCCCGCGCGTCCCTCCCCGCCCCGGCTCTCTCCGGCCCAGGGTCCCAGCCAGTGCCGCGAGAAAGCGCCTTGCGCTGCGCCCGCTCCGGACTGCAGCTGCCTGCCGGCGGGGGCAACAAGCAGCAGCTGCATCTTGGAGCATCTGCTGTCCTGAGTCCTCCTGCTCCCCTCCCAGTTCCCCCCTGCACACCTGCAGCTCTTCTTCCCCTCCCCCTCCCTTCTGAATTATTTCTCCTCCTCCCTCTTTTCCTCCCCCCCCCCCACCTGGTGCCTCCTAATTCCTTGGTTTCCTCTGGTTTTCCTTGGACTCTGCCTTGTCATGTCAAGATGGAAGTCAGGCATGACTGGCTCGCCTCTTCCCCCCACGAGGGCTTCGAGCAGCTGAGGCTGAAGAGCCGCCCCAAAGAGCCATCCCCGAGCCTCCCCAGAGTAGGTGCCAACTTCTACAGCACTGTCAAGCAGCAGGACTTCAGTGCCAGTGTCTGGCTGAGGAGGAAAGACCAACTGGAGCATGTAAGCCAGCTTCTGATTCCCTTCTTTCCTTTCCCTGCTGGGTCTCCTCCAGCAAAGCCCAGGGAGGAGTGAGGTGTGAGCTTCAGTGATCTGTTGGCGAAATTCCCAAAGGGTAGAGGAGGAAAGAAACTAGCCAAAGGTCCCAAAGCGGCCCACCAAAGTAAACAGCCTGTTGGAATATATTCCCCAAACCGCTGTGTAAAATGTGAGTGGGAAAGTTATGTGGAGCCTGAGAAGTTATTGAACATCCTTGCATTATTTCCCAGCCTCCTACAAACTGAGCACTGAGAGTGGAGATGTATTGGGAAGGTGGCACTGGGGCTCACTGCTGTGTTGGCTTGTAATTGATCTCATATAGGCCTAGGACTGTTTAAAAGAAAACATTAATCTAGATGTGATTTTTCTCTTCCTACGTGGGGCTTTAAAATGTTAACTCTGTGTAGCGTCCAGGAGGTTTCCCTGAAGGATCAATTCCTGCAGCAGTATTATATGACTTAACGATGTGTCTTTGGGGCCACAGCAGATCTGATGCTGGGGATGGCTGCAGTGAATATTTCATGAGGTTTTGAAGTGCTTGTAAGTAGTGCTGTGATTCATATGTTTTAAAGCAATGTTGTTGTTTTGCTTTATGTAACTTTTAAAAGCAAGGAACTGAGTTGAGATAAATTGCATGCTGTGTTAGAGTTTTCTGAATAGCTTTTTAGATGAAGCCCATAGTTAGTATGTAGTACAAGCAAAATAAGGAGATAGACGCATATGGATAGCGAAGCAAAAGAGACTGAATGGGTTTACATATTGCAACAGTCTGTAAATTATTCACCAATGGAAAGGACGGGAGACAGTGACATACAGTTAAAAATGACTGAGATACATAGAAAAATATTACATTTGATGTAAGCCATGTTAGGGTTTATTTCAGGTAGAAATCCACCTATTAAAAGCATAACGGACCTATTGTTGCATGAAAATTATAGATAGTACATTAATACCTGTTTAAGATGAAACCTGAAAAACAACTGGTAGATAAGGTGTTAAATTTCCTCTCCACCAAATTGTATAATATAAAAATACTCCTTTTGAAGTACTTGTACCTGTTAATGAAATATTAAATATAGGTTGTGTTTACAGGTCTAATAAAATCACAAGAACTGACGAATTGCTGGAAATAGAATTCAATACTTCTCAAATATTTGAAATGTTCTGCATACCTTACTACACATCTCCCTGATTCTTCACACTAACAACAAGGCTTCACAGTAGTAAGCTAGTAAGAAGAGTGTTTTCCCATTGTGAGTCAAAAAGAAAGGTCATTGCTTTATCTCAGGAGGGCTGAGTGTTAATACATAAAAAGCACAGAAATCGAACTATTGGGTTTGTAACTGGTTTTACTTGTTGATTATCATTTTGTAACTGGTTTTACGTGTTGATTGTCTTTTGCCAAGACGTAACACTACTACCACATCTATAATCAAACAACACATAATTAGACACTGTTCTGGTATCTGAACATTAGCATGCCCAAATATATATAAAATACATTTAAAAAAAAAAAAACAAACCCTGTCCCATAGTATTGCCTAGGATGGGCTAAATAGACATTACTTGTTTGAAAAGAACAAGTGGATAGCCCCCACCCCTTTTTGTGTGTGCTTATTTATTATAAAGTCTGAACTTGGCATAGTAATCTGAAATAGAGCTGCAACATCAATGTGAAAAGGTTTCCTGTAATCATACATATGAATGTATGTCCTGTGGGAGACTACATTCTCATTTGAGCCAGCTATTTCATTCCCATAGCGCATTTGAACGATGTTAAGAAAAAATAATTGGAACATGGATATTCCTTGCACACAATGAAATATTTGAGTACACATTTAATGGCTATGTTTATTATGAATAGATTGTAGTATACTGTATGTACCAAGTGTATACATGTAAAGTACATACTTTATTTTTATGATTTAGGATAATTTCAACACTCATGAGTGGTGGACTAGAGACACAAATTGTTACATACCTCACCTCAATGAGTATTTAATCCCAAATTCATATGTTTATTGTTTATAAAATACTTGGTGCCATGTAATTATTGTCTGTTTTTAAAGAGGTGGTTAGTGCTTACTTAGCCTTTTCTGCCTTTTAAAAATTTTTTTTTACAAAGGGTAATACTTTGAGGTGCATCATTTTTAATGGCCTGTTCACTCATGTAGTGATGTTTCTGATTGAGATAGGATACTGTAGGTATACATGCTGCATGATGTAGATGGAGGATATGTATAACACTTTAGTTTGCCGCTTTCTTCTGATACAATTATGCTATTTAATCTGTGCTAAGAAAATCATTCCACTTAGGAATGAACATACTTATGTATACCATCTATGGCTTAAAGCAAAATAGATATAAATAAAATTGATACATATAGTAATGGCAGATGCAGGTAAAGGAAGATTATATAAACACAGATATGCACACACTCACTCTGGCGACATAACATTTATTAAATAATGCTTCCAATAGAGTTATAACATTTATTTAAACTGATTTCAATGGAGTTAGGCCAGGGATGATGTTATACCTTACTTCTGGAAAAATTGCTGTAGATCCTAAGCAGATATTGTATATTGACTTCTTCGGGTTACCAGCAAGATTTATTGACCAGAGAAGTTTCATTGAAGTCAATATTTATCTTAAGAGGCAGAAAAACAACTTAATGGAATTATGAAGTAAATTTATGTGTTACTCAGAAATACCTATAAAACTCTTATGGTTATCAATTTCAAAACTGTAAAAAGTTTTTTCTTTTAAACTAAATTGTAAAGTTAGAGGTACAGAAAACAAAATACTATAAATATCCCAAGCTTTATATGGAACTCACTGCAACCAATCAGAATGTACTTTACAATTCATCTGATTTTTTAAGTGACTTCTTGTTCCATATCTTACTACTATTGTCTGATCTCCAAGGAGATAAAGCTCTAGAAACATATTGCTGACTTGACTTCTTTTACATTAGTCTGGATTTCCTTCTTCCAAGCTGTAATGATATAGATTATGTTACCGTTAATTTGACAAACAACTTTTCAAACCACATCAGATTTTAAAACAAGTCACTCATATTCTGTTTCTTGGCTAAGGACCAAGTACAGCAAGTACCTCAGCACATGCCTAAATTTAAGTAATTTAAGTCCTATTAAAGCTTAAAGTTAGACTCATGCTGAAGTACCTTGCTGAACTGCGGCCTAAATGCATCAATACACGGCATTTTAATGGGTGAAAATGACATTATGCTAGTTTATAGTTTAAAAGGGGGGATTTTTCCAAATGAAGACTATAATCAAAGAACCTTGTCTTATGGTTCTATTTGACAAGGTTCTTAAATCCGTATTAGAGATATTTCAATTCAGAATCAGGGTGTAGTGAAATCCCTCACATTCTAAATATCTGGTTTAGTCATTTTCTAATGCCTCCTGTGAGCTTATTGGCCTGGTAAGTGACAAAAGTGATTGAAGACTTGTCTGAAATCCTTAGATCTCCTCTTTGTATAAGTAGTCTTTTTAATGGAAAAAGGTCCCCTTTGCCTCCATCCCCTGTTTTATCTTTTCAGTGAGATTTGAGCTGGAGTAGGGAGGGGAGGAAGATAAATGTTGTGGGTGACCTCTGAAAGTCCTTAGTTGTGCTGATAACTATCTGCTGTTGGGTTAAGTCATGGCAGTTCTTCATATTCTCTCAGCAACCTGGTTCCCTCGGTAACAACAACAGAATATTTTTATGCAGCTCCCTCCATATGGGCATTGCAAGGTGCTTTAGAATAAAACCTGTTTAAAATGATCAATTTTTAAACCAGACATGAGCAACTCGAAGGAAATGTTTCTTGAATGTTTTTTTAAAGTGTGTAACAGATTAGAAACTGAGACTAGAAACGTAGTTCTACAGTTGTGAAGTATTATGGAGTCACCCTAATTAAGGGTGCATCAAGGTTTGCACTTAAAGCAGGGGTTCAACCTCATTGTTTTATATGATAAATACAGTGTTTCCTTTTTTAAATATACACATGTAATGGTGAACAAAGACTGCATTTTCTAATGATTTAGAAATAAACTTGTTAATTATTTTTGGGTTAAAATTTAATTAAAAATGGGCCTCAACAGTTTTTGTCTTCAGATTGTAACTTTTTTGGGGGGGCCTGGTAGCTAAAGAGCCATTGTCCCTAGGGAGCCAAAAATCCTCTCTTGCACACACATACATGCATTAACACTACAGCTCTTGATTAAGCTACATAAAAAACAAAGAACACAAACAACCAAACAAAAAACAACAGCAAAACATTAGGTTGTAATTAAGCAAAGTTAATAACAATGGCTGTATCATCTTTCTACAGTTTTACTCAGAGCTAGATCAGTAGCTCAAGTCATTCTTAAGTTATGTAATTGTAACATCGGAGGTAACTTACCCAATCATCACTATTCAGTTAATTTGCATGCTGCAGTTTTATTGGCTGCAGGGAGGGAATTGTGTGGTAGGTGATGGGCTCAGAGTTCCAACTCGCTAACACTAAGCCTTCAGATGTTTTGCAATACTGTGGCTGAGACATACACACAGAGCTAAGAAACTAATATTTCTCTTAAGTTTCATGGCCATAACAAAATTTAAATACTTTATATTAGGCTACATTTCACCTCTGTATTAGCTGAAATTTGACCTTGACAAATTAAATTTTAATGATTGTAAAACTATTTAAAATTTTCTTTTAAGCAACTGTTTGTGTCTAACATGTGTCATTACATAGCAAAGTACATGCAATGGAAAACTAGGCAATTCATAAGCAAACTACTTTGAGAGATCATTAAGATAACATCAACAACACTTATTAAAACACATTCAAATGAATAACAGCGTTCTTCATCTAAGGGACCGATGATATATGCATAACAATAACACATTACATGTTAACACATAAGGGGAATGAAGGTCCTGACTCTGAATTCTGAGATATATCACA